TATATAAAGTGTGACATTAGAATATAAAATACTTTATAATACATACAAAGTGAAATTTATTTTATTTGAATGTTGATTCTAATATATGTATTATAATAGAATTATTATTATATATACAGCTATTATTTATAAAAATATTAATAGTAATGACAATATTCATTTTTAATAATATTGAAATAATTTTGTATTTTTTTTAAGTAGCTTATATATATATATACACACACACACACACACAAATACTAAATAAATTAATAAATATTAATGTTTAAAATATATTTTTTATTTAAATGTTAGCATATGTATAAAGCACACTATACTTTATAATAAATATAAATATAAAAAAGTATTTATAATATAAATATTTTTGTAAAGCTTATTGAATCTAATATACTGTCTAAACTTAATGTAATGTAATCAGAATTAATGAATAAATCTCAGAACAGTGATGGGGAACTGCAGTGAATAAGTATTTTACATGTTTTGATTTAAAGTTTTCATGAAATTAAAATAGATCCTATTAACTTTCTTAATGCACAGTTTTTAATGTAACTTTTAAAGATGGTGTAATCTCTAAAAAATTATTCTGCGCTCTTGTTTTGAGGATGCTGAAACAATGTTGAGCCATTATGAAACTTGTGTCGACCCTTATCATCCTCAAAATTCCCTCATGGCCAATAAAAAAAACATGATTTGAAAATCATACGTCAGTATTAAGCGTATGAATCCATATTTTGATGACCGAATATGCTGCTAAGTGCTTTAACACATGGACAAAAGCAAACACAGAGATCTGGGCCAGGACAGAGGCGGCATGAAACACTACCTTCAAAGCTTGTTCTGGAAATGAATATTTACGGTTTGGCCAGTGAAGGTATAACTTCACTGTGGGAAGAATCACTTTAAAAGCCTCCACTGTTTAAAGAGAGCATCTCCACTTTCTCCTGTGATGTGTGTCTGTTTTCTCTGCTTGGGGGATCTGCCTCCATTTTGAGACCAGGTGTGGTTTGAGGTATGGTTAAAAAAATGCAGGAAATCTCTTTCTTTCTCAAACAGAGACAGGACAAAGTAAACTATGTTGAAGGCAGGGAAAGGGTCTTGTGGTCAAAGGCGTATAAAATGTGTTCCATATTTTATTTCATGTTATTTTATGCTGATATGAACTGGTTGTTTTTGGACTCCAGTAATGGTCAGCATACACAAACATGTAACTTTCTTTTCTTTCAAAGCACATGTACATATGTATTCATCTGTTTTAGTATATTAAGTACAGTAAACGAAGGCAAAAATAGCATTTATTGCTCAAATGTAGAAAAAAGGGTTGCTTTTTAAACTAACACAGAAAAGTGTAATCCATGGGAAATCTACTCAAATATATCAGTTAGAGTACATGTAAGTCGATCTGCTCAAAGGTCTCCGTGTTTGTCTGTTTCTCAGGGATCTCAGGAATAACTTGATCAGCACCATCATGCCTGGAGCCTTTCTGGGTCTCACAGCTCTTCGAAAACTGTAAGTACACCTTAAAATCATAATCAGTTATTATAACAGGACACCGGTTACACACTTTACCAATAATGTGTCAGTAATCGCATTAACTTTCACTTGCAAAACTGTTTAACTGTTAGGGGCCGTTCACACAGAACACGATTTTCCATTCCAATGCGCTACTTTTCAATTGTTTTTCAATGAAAACACACGCTAGATGGACATGTATGACCGTTGTGTTCGCATCTTTTGCAGCGTCTCGCACATGAGCCCTGCGTATTTAAGACTTTTAAAGAGTGTCAAGTTAAAAGAATTTCCGCTCATCAATGTCAGTTCCAGAACCGTGAACCAATCAGAAATGCCTGAAGGCGGGGCAAGCGTTAGGAATTTTTGTTTACACTAGCATTTTGGCATTGCAATTGTTTTATTTGACGGCAGTATGGTGGAGGAGGCATTCTGCACTGCGCTTTTAAAAAAAACATTCCTGAGCGCTGCGTCTCACGTTTTTAGATGCAAATATGTGTTTCGTGTGAACGATCCCTTAATTAAAGAGTTTTCTTTTTTTCAAACTGAGTGTCAATTCATAGAGTGTGATTTGGGGCAAATGTAATACTGGGCTGGGACATTGAAATAAAACATATATTTATATAAGTACTGACAGCACTAATAAGTACTTAACTAAATTTAGCGATTCTACTAACTTAACTGCATTTTTCAGTAGTGTGACAGTAACTCAGTTGCTCATAATGCAAAGTATTTTTTCCTTTAAATCAAAACTCATTTTTCCAACATGTACAGTTGCTTCAAAACATGTAGACACTTAATCTGCAATTAAAGCATGAATGTGTTTTCATTAACAACATTTATTTTTAACAGTTCAAATGTACTTTTTAAGCAGAAAGAAGTGCATTTGGTTTCACATAACAATTAATTTAAACAAACACATGAATTGATAGTGGAGCATGTTATAGTACCTGTTATAGTACTTTTTCTACTCTTCCACACATTGAAACAAATTGAGTAAAAGTGAAAAAAGTTTTGTAAATTAAATCAGTCAATCAGTCATAATACCAGTCAAAATGTAGAATAAATGTTTTTAATGTGTTTGAAAGAAGTGTCTTATGCTCACCAAGGCTATATTTAGTGAGCAAAAATGATTTTCAGCATTGATAATAATAGGAAATGTTTTTTGAGCAGCAAATCAGCATATTAGAATGATTTCTGAAGGATCATGTGACACTGAAGACTGGAGTAATAATGCTGAAAAATCAGTTTTGAATCACAGGAATAAATTACATTTTTAAATATATTAAAACAGAAAACAGTTATTTTACATTTTAATAATATTTTGCAATATTACTGTTTTTACTGTATTTTTCATCCAATAAATATAGCCTTGGTGAGCATAACATATATTTATAGCCTGTGGTGTATAGCTGGTGTATAGTACCTTGACTGTAATTGAACTAAAGTAGTTTGAAAAGCTACAGTTTCAAAGTGTGAATCATTGATCACTGTATAATGATTGCTGCATGATGAAGTATTTTCCGAAGTTCTGAAGCACAGATCCATATGCTTGCTAAAACTGGAACACAGAATAACAATGCATCTGATTTACTGTAATCTGTACAGTGACCTATCCAGCAACCGAATTGGCTGCCTGACCTCAGAAGTGTTCCAGAGACTTACCAACCTCACAAAATTGTAAGTCATTATTTCTGCAACATATATTTATTGGAATACAAAAACACAGAAGATCAGTATCGCTCTTGAAAGTGTTGCTGTGCCGTACAGAGTAACATATGTTTGATAAGGATACACACAGCATCTGTTGCAAATGATACATTTGATAATGTTCTTGTCATATTTAAGAATTGCAAAATGTTTAATTTGTGTTCTTATATTATAGAAACATCTCTGGAAACATCTTTTCCTCTCTGGATCCACATTTGTTTATGGAGTTACACTCTCTAAAGCTGGTGTGAGTTAAAGTGAATGTTCTCATGGTGCACATGCTCATTTTTTGTATAGAAAGAGATCTAGCATGCCAATTTGTCAGTGATTTTTTGATAATTTTATAATGAACAAAACTAAGATTGTGCATATCTGTCTATAAGCCACAACTATATTTCCTAGAAATGGTTTAACTGCTATTAAATGAAGCCTATTCTTGATCAAGTATGACAGGATAATCCTGTAATGCAGCTTTGATGAATATTTCTGATCTCACCCTGTTCCCGTCACCATTAGGCTCATGATTAACTCTTTAACATGACAAAAAGTAGACCTAAAAAGTCACACTTAAAATGTGTAAATGTCTTTGTATTAAATGACAAGTACAGTTTCTTAATTCATTCCGTTGAGATTTAGGAAATGCTAAATGTGTTTAATTACACAAATAAATGGACAGTCTTCTTCTGAACAACAAGCTTTATCTAATTCTTACCTCCAATTGTGTGCTCATTAGGAACTTTCATTCTGAGTTCCTGTCATGTGATTGCGGTCTGCACTGGGTCCCAGGCTTTTTCCACAGCAGTTCTGCTCGGCTTGGGGAAGAAACACTGTGTGCGTATCCCAGAAGACTTCAAAACAAACCCCTGCGTCTCCTGAGAGAGACTGACCTCAGCTGTGGTGAGCAAAATCACTATCAATCTTATACAATATCATGTTCAATTATTTACATACAATATGCACATCTGAATGGAATTTACGCCAACATATTTACTTACAAACACATGCTCTATATATATTTTAGTGTATAGGATATAGGGGGGGGGTTTAAACAAAATAAATCTATAAAAATATTTTATTTACATGTAACAATTTGAATATTACTATTACTAATTTTACTGTGGAGGACATACATTATTATTATTATCATCATCACATTATTTATTGTAATATTAACAATGATTCTTTATGGTTATTATTATTATTATTATTAATAATAATAATAATAATAATAATGATGATGATTATTATTATAAGGGTTTTATTGGACTTTTGACTCAAACCCTTATTATGATGTAGCCCTTGTGGCAACTTCCCGAAACAAAAGTATTCAGTTTTGAGACCTGCATAATTTATCAGTGACAACAACTTCTTAGTCTTTGATCAGTTTTGGTATTTTGGCTGAATTGCAGTGTTGCTCAATCCTTGTGTTTTAGCCAGCTAAGATCAAGTATATTTGCTGAAAAATTCCCTATTTCTCTGACTTTTGCCACAGGGGTCTGATTGAATTTCTCAGTGACTTTCTGTTAAACCTCAACTCATCTTTCTGGTAGACATGCGCTGCATTTTTCCGAGTCTTGGGCCTCAAACCGGGGCTCCTGTTACTGTTTTAATATCAGCTCATTTCGCCATCTCTTCCTCTGCTGCCCTTAAACATATTTATGTTGGCCAGAAGCACATAGCTGTGACCGACTAGGAAAGATCCCTCTGTGGGTTTGCAGTTCTGAATACATATCCTCAGTCCTCGACAAGGGACTGATTCACCCAGGCTGTTTCACAAGCAAAGCTAATTTTGAATGATTACACGGCAACAAAACACACATAGAGCTTTCTTACACCTCCTGCTACTTGTGTGCGACAAAGAATACAATTGAATTTGCTTCAGTTATTAACAGAGGAGATGTCTAGCAGTGCAGTCTATTAGGACTAAAGATGAAAACAGATGAAAACACAGAAATAATTTCTGATCCATAGAAAATTGAAGGCCTAATCTCCTTACACATAATGCCCACAACACAAAGGCCCAGAATAAGAACAGCAGGAGACCGTGTGAGAATCCACAAGCAATATAATCTATATCTGCACTTCACAGATGATTACATGTGCATATTGTTACATTTTAATGCAAATATTTCAAATACTCATGACGTACAGTGCTGTTCTGAAGTCTGGAGTTAAAAAAATCTCATACTCATCAAGGCTGCATTAATTTGATCAAAACAGTAATATTGTGTAATATTATGACTATTTTAAAAAAAATTATTTGAATATATTTTAAAATGTAACTTATTCCTTTGATGCAAAGCTGAATTTTCAGCAGCCATTACTCCAGTCTTCAGTGTCACATGATCCTTCAGAAATCATGAGAAAAAATGTGATACTTTTTTTTTTCTGGATTCTTTGATGAATTTGAAAGTTTAAAAGAAAAGCATCAATTTGAAATAGAAATCTTTTGTAACATACTCGCAATTGCGAGAAATAAAGTCAGAATTGCGGGATATAAAGTCCAGTTCTAAGGAGAAAAAAAAAGACTTGATACTTAATAACTCGCAATTGCGAGTTTATACCACACAATTCTGACTTCATTTCTCAAAATTGCGAATTTATATCTCACAATTCTGACTTTATAACTCACAATTGCGAGTTTATATCACGCAATTCTGAGAAAAAAGTCAGAATTGGCAGTTTATATCTCGCCATTCTGACTTCATTTCTCACAATTGCGAGTTTACATCTCACAATTCTGAGAAAAAAAGTCAGAATTGCGAGTTTGTATCAGGCAATTGTGAGAAAAAAAGTCAGAATTGTGAGATAAAAAGTTCCAATTAACTTTTTTATTTTTTATTCAGTGGCGGAAATGGGCTTCCATAGTTTAATGCATCCTTCTTGAATAAAATACAACTTTTGAATTGTAATGTATTGAACTAAGATTTGGTTTAAAGACAGAAATATACAATAAATCTTTGTTTTAGTAGTCATTTTTAGTCAAGATTTTTTTTCCTGTGAGCCTATTGTTTATCTTTTAAATGATTTTACTCCTCAGAGGGTCCGCTGGAGCTGCACACGCTGTCTCTGTTACCCTCGCTGCGACAGGTCGTGTTTAAGGGGGACAGGCTGCCTTTCCATTGCACTGCTTCACTGGTGGACAAAGTCACTGCTCTTCACTGGCGACACAACGGACAGTCTGTCACCACTGACCCTACCAGTGGAGTTCATCTGGAAGAGAGTGTACAGCATGACTGCACCTTCATCACCAGGTAACACATACAGAGACTAACCATAATTTAGTTATTTATATATATATATATATTGTACTAGGGGTGCCCCCGAATAGTCGAAGATTCGATGCTATGATAGGAGGAGCCTGATTCGACTACCAATCTCACAGTCGAATATTCGCGGGGTGTTATGATCATGCCATTTTGGCTATATGGGGGTGCTCAAATGTGTGATTTCACATAGAACTACCGTTTTTCTCCCAATAAGTTAATATACAGCCTATTAAAATAATGCTGTAAATAAGAATCTGAAAAGAAAGAAGCTTAAATTAAATATTTTAACGTGCGTGAATAAATTCAACCACCCCTATATATTTAAGTTTCACTTTATAATGTATTTTGCCCCGCCCCCAAAACATATGATTCGACTATGAAAATCCTTAGTCGGGGACACCCCTATATTGTACACTGCTGGTCTTGAATAATTACGATTATTTTATGTTTTTTGAAAGACGTCTCTTTTTCACCAAGGCATTTATTTGATAAAAAATACAGTAATATTGTAAAATATTATTGTGATTTAAAATAACTGTTTTCTTTTTTTTTTAATGTATTTTTTTTCCTATAATGCAAAGCTGTATTTTCAGCATCATTACTCCAGTCTTCAGTGTCACATGATCATTCAGAAATCATTCTAATATGATGATTTGCTGCTCAAGAAACATTTCTTATCATCAATGCTGAAAACAGTTGTGCTGCTTAATATTTTTGTTCAAAAAGTGTATGCGCAAGGGAAGAGAAAAGTCCAATATTATAGTGAAGCGACAAGACGTGAAAAGAAGAGATGAGACTAAATAAAACAGATGGATTAAGAGATTTAAAAGGGATATAAAGTGAACAAAAGAAATTGGATTAAAATGGGGGAAAATAATAAAAATGAGCCATGGCACTGACCTGAAAAGGATAGAAAGACCAGGTTAACATTATTGAGTCAGAAAAATCACTCTTCTACAGTACGTTTTATTACCGGTATAGCGTTCTGTTCATTTTTAGCGAGCTGATCCTGTCAAACGTCCACATCGAGGCGAGTGGTGAGTGGGAGTGTGTGGTGTCCACAGGCCGTGGGAACGCCTCGCGCAGTGTGGAGATAGTGGTACTGGAGAACAGCGCCTCCTTCTGTCCGGAGCAGAGAGTGACTAACAACCGAGGGGAGTTCAGGTAAGTGACTTGTCCTACAGCTTTACCTGCGGCTTAATAATGCTTATCTAGAAAAGTCTGGCATTATGTCATCTCTTTAACCTCTTTGGCCTCAGGTGGCCTAGAACTCTGGCTGGCATCACCTCCTACCAGCACTGTCTGCAGCTGCGCTACCCCTCCTTAACTATAGGGGGCGGCGTGGAGCAGAAGAAGGCTTCACGTAACTGTGACCGCTCTGGACGCTGGGAGGAGGGAGACTACTCTCAGTGCCTCTATACTAATGACATCACACGGGTCCTGCATACCTTCATACTGGTTAGTGACATTCTAGCTAGAGTCTTGTTTTTTAAAACAGTTTTTTTCTTCTTCAAGTGTGATGCAAATTACTAATATGAAAGGCATTTAAAGCTCCCCCTTGTGAAAAAGAAGTACACTTTAGCATTCTTTTTAAAAGAGTATTTATTACTGAAATAATATACTTTACAAGAATGCACTTAAGTGTAATGTGAATGCTGACTGCATGTGCATTTTTGAAATATGGTTAAAGAGTACTGCCGAATGTACTGACAAGCATTTATGTCAACTAAAACGCTTAAAAAATACT